TATATGTGTGCATATGTGTACAATCTGGGGACCTCTGGAACCTGGAGGTGAGGGAAGCTGCCCTGCCTTTCACCAACTGCCCATGGGTCACAAGCAAGACCTTACATGCTATTCACCAGGCGTATGACCTCAGGGAAGTGGCCTGACCTCGCTGGGCCTGTCTCCCCAACTGTAAGGAGGAGCTGGTGATTTTTGTCAAGCCCAGGGCTGCTTCGAGGATTAGAAGAAATGCTGCAGGTAGAGCACTTAGTGTAGGGGGCCAACTCCGAACCACAGGCGGCCTCTGTGCCAGAAACTAAAGAAACTGTATTTAGAAGTTGACTTCAGAATAAGACTGCTATTCCCATTGGCTGCCATTTCCAGTCTCTTCACTATAGTCTCTCTCTTAGGTTTCTGTTATTGTGTTTTTGAAACAGCATTCTTTGTAGTCAAGGCTGACCTTGAATTCCTGATCCTCCTGCTTCCCCCAGTTGGACTGGCATTACAGGCTCTACCATACATCTGATTTCCCAGAACAACTTGCCAATGAGGAGACCAAGACTGGGTAGTTAAGTCTTTTACCAGGGTTGTACGCAGGTCCTCAGCAGCAGAGGTGGTGCTGGATCAGGCCTGGCTGTCATGAGCTGCTGCCATCATGGCTCTGCTTTCTGGAATGATACAGGAGATAGAAAATAAGGGGCTTTATTTTATATTCACAAAGATGTCATCCTGAGCTCAGAAAGTGGGGGAAGAGGGAGGCTGTGTGAGAAAATGTCATGGAGAAGCTTTGCCCTCCAGAGCTTGGTGCTGGAGTCGGGATTGTGAATGGCCCTTTCCCTACTGTCCTGTGTGGACCACAATGTATTCTTGTCCAAGCGAGTCATATGACTGTTTAGTCGGAGATGTGATAAAATTTTAGCCCTGAAAGCCCAAGTTAAGCTAATATTTGCCTGTGTGACAAGTTATAGGAATAACAGTCATGACTTTTGAACATTTGCCCCAAATTACTTCGCTTCTGCATTTTTGTTTTGGGTCACCCCAGGCACAGGCTGACACTTGATAGCACAATAATTCACATGTTCTGGGAGTGGATCATATCTGGTCAGAAGGACTGGTAGCTTGGAGACTTGGGTTCTGGCCTTAGCTCTGTCATGGATCTGTTGAGAGAGACGGAGCCAGTAACTAAATCTTTCTCAGCCTCAGTTTCTCCTGTCAGACAGATATAATGAAAACCTAGCCCTCCTGCCTCAGTGATGACTGTAAAGATTAGTGTGGCAAATGATAATTCCAACCATGTTGGCAAAGACATCTCTTAGCCAGCAGGGACGTAAAGAAGGGTTCCCCAATGTTTCCCCATGCTACCTCTTTGTCAGAGAAATTTTGATGTGACCCCAGGTGTGTAGTTATATAAAATAGGTAAACAAATGAAACACTTAATGCCAATAAGTCATTTTCAAAGTTTAAAATTAAATCATATAATTTGACCATCTATTAAATGTTTAAGCAAATTTGCATGTTAATAAGATAGACATACTTATTTATTTTTATTCATAAAGAGTTAGATCTTGGCTATATATGAGATTGCAAGATGTTTGTTTGCTCTGAAATGCCCATGTGTGTTTCACACGCTTGTGTGAGCATGGGCCACTTTTCCACATGCACCTTTCTACATCCCCCCCATCCTTTGCTTTACCGGAAGTTTTGTGTGTATGTGTGTTTTATGAGGAGTTTGCAGCCCTTTGCTCTTTTTGCCTCCATTTGAGCAGTCTTTGTTGCTTTGTCTTCAGGTTTGTCGGTCTTCTGCATGTCCGATCTGCCTGTCATTAATTTCACCTAGCACAACTTTTATTTCAGCTATTGTTCATTTTCTGTATCTTCCATTTCTTTCTAAATTATACTCACAATTTCCTTAATGTCTTGAAAATATGTAAAGTGAATGTTTTTATAATACTGTGTGTGAATTCTGTCATCCGTATCACTTCCACATCTACTTGACTTAGCTAATGCTTCTCTTGGTTGTGAGCCACATGACCACACCTTCCTGCTTGTCTGCAGAGCCAGGGTTTTCCCGCTGGAAGGCAGCACCATGCATATTCCTCTGCTGAGCATCTAGATTTTGCTATCCTCTCTGAAAGACTGGTGACTTTATTCTGTTATTCTTTGGCGGTAGCTAAGTTAGTGTGGGCAGCTGTAGTTCTCAGACCTGCTTACTAGCACTGTCTGGAGGGCCTGGGGAGCCATAGGACTGTCTTAACCTAGTTGCTATGGCCTCTAGCATCTCCGGTGAGGGCTCCAGTATCCCCAGGAACTCTACTCTGGCATTCTGGAGGTTCGTCTCCTGGCTTCAGGGTGTGCTGGCGAGTGTTCAGCCTCCGAGCCCCTGAAGCTCATTCCCTCTCTGGTGCTCTTTGTGAGTTGTGGAGTCTCAGATGTTCAGCCAGAGACCCCCACACAGACGCCAAGAACACTTTCTCTGCAGTTTCCTCTTGTCTCCAGCTGCCTTGACTTTTGAGTGCTGACCCTGATCTCGGCAGCCCGTGATCCCCTTTGGCGTGCCCGGCTCCCCTAGCTTGTACTGTGCTGCCCGGTGCCTGCAGTCCCCTGGTGGAGCACACTACTTTTCATTTGTTCTCTTCTCCACCTTAATGCAGAGAGCTCGTGTTCCCTGTGAGACTCCCTGGGGTCACAAACCTGTAGGCTTTTTGACTGTATTCTGCATCAAGAGGACTTTGCAAGAGCTACAAAGATGGCTCAGCAGCTAAGAGTAGTTTCTCTTCTGGCACTCCGATTCCAAAGGAGCTGACACTATCTTCTGGCCTATGTGGGCAGTAGACACACATGTGGTGCTCTTACATGCTTGCAGGCAAATACTCATAAAATAAAATAAAATAAATCTTTTCAAATAAAAAGAAGACTTATAAAATCTTAGCGCTAATCAAACCCACAAAATGTCAACAGAGTCGTTCTGCTCTGCTTCTTGGAGAAACTCAGAATGGAGACCCATAGCCAGCACTAACTCTCACTGGATGACTAAATAGTAGTACACCCATACAAAGACATATTATTAAAGGAACAAGGTATGCCCACAACATGGGCATACCTTGAAAAGACTTGCTAAATGAAAGAACCAGCCACAAACACATAAATGTATCATATAATTTCATTTATATGGACAACCCAAACTAGACAAATTTATAGAAACGGCATAGTTTAGTGGTGATTTAGGATTGTAATGGGCATGCAAAGTGATTGGTGATGGATACAGGGCTACTTTTGTGAAGGGAAAAAAACATTCTACAGTTAGAATGTAGTTATGGTTGTCCAATCTTATGAATTTGCTAAAATAAATATTGAGCTCCATGGTTTAGGCAAGCAGACTGTGTAGTATATGAAATTAATCTCACTAAAGCTGTTTTCAAGATAGTTGTCTGTGGTGTTCTCCATGACAGAAGGGAGGGAATGAAGGCACGGACAGGGGCCTTGGTGAGACAGAAGGAAAGCTCAGCTCTCATGCTGAATCCTGTATGTGTTACATGCGGTATTCATTCCTGTTCTGGAAATGTGGCCTTAAAACGATTCACATAGTCTATCAAAGCACAAATATCCCCCAATGTTGTCCTTAAAACTTGTCTTCTTTTTCTTCTATTTATGATTATTCTTGCCATTTGGATGTGATTTCCTCTTTCCAGGATTCTTGTCAGCTATGAGCTTGTGTCATAGACTGCCAGAGGTGTCACACAGCCTCTGATCTGTCCCCTGTGTGGACTCTGTCAACAGAACAGGGTGACTCTGGCTAATACTAGCTGTGGAAGAGTTGGGACATGCCCTCTGCTGGCATTTCTCCTGACGGTATCTTACATGTTCCTGGACTAGGGGAGTTGTTCATTTAAGCCAGGCATTGTTGACTGAGGTTTCTGTCCCGCCCAGTCCTGCAGCCTTTCAGTCCCAAAGAAACACGCAGAAGTTTACATTAATCATAAACTGGCCTATTAGCTCAGGCTTCTTATTAACTCTTATAACTTATATTAGCCCATAATTCTTGTCTGTGTTAGCCACGTGGCTTGGTACCTTTTTGGCAAGGCAGTTACATCTTGCTTCCTCTGCATCTGGATGACGAATGCAGACTGAGTCTTTCCTCTTCCCAGAATTCTCCTGTTCTCATTGCCCCACCTCTACTTCCTGTCTGGTCGCCCTGCCTATACTTCCTGCCTGGCTACTGGCCAATCAGCATTTTATTAAACAAGTACAAGAAACAAATCTTTACAGGGTAAAACCATTGTCCCGCAGCAAGGCATCACCTTACTATAAATGGAGACTGTGCTTTAATTTCCTGGCCACCCAGACCCAAATAATGACACAAAAATATATTAATTACAACACTGTTTGGCCAACGGCTCAGGCATATTCCTACCCAGCTCGTACATCTTAAATTAACCCATTTCTACTAATCTGTGTATCACCACAAGGCTGTGGCTTACCAGTAAGGGTCTGGCATCCTTCTCCTTTGGCAGCTACATGGCATCTCCCTGACTCCACCTTCTTTCTCCCTGCATTCAGATTAATTTTCCTGCCATAGGCCAAAGCAGCTTCTTTATTAGCCAGTGGTAAAATAAAACATATTCACAGCATACAAAGGGGAATCACACGGCACCCTACCTTCATTAAAAGAACTGTGAGTGATCTGTGTGTATGACTGCCATCTCCTCTTGGAGGACGGCCCTCACCTAGCAGTACACTGTAGCTTGCTGCTCCCATTGCAGTGTTCTCAGTTGTCTTCAGCCCCCTTTCCCCGTTTCTTTCCCTGGATACTGAATGTTTTCAATAGTCTGTATCTCAGGTTATTATTGCCCAGTAGCTCAAATAAGTGGGGTTTTTGCTTCGTTTTGATTTTTAGATTATACAGCCCCGATAGGGCAACTCCAGCATCCCCATAGGACCCGGTTCTCCCAGTTTTCCCCTGTGTTGTCCATGTGGACTGAGGACACTGTATTCATCATGTGTGGTTTGTGGTTTCCCTCCAGGATCATTCATGAAGACGGCTTCTCTGGAGAAGATGTAAAACAGTACAAGCCTGTTGTCTACAGCAACACCATCCAGTCTCTGGCAGCCATTGTCCGGGCCATGGATACTTTGGGCGTGGAGTATGGTGATAAGGAGAGAAAGGTAAGCAAGTCTCTGAGGCCATAGGCACAGAGAAGAAGCCTTTGTGGCTCTCCCTCCTCCTGACAGTGCCTGCTGGGACTGGGCGAGCTTGTCCTCTGTGTGAGGGGAGGGGGGCAGTAGTCATCAACCTAAGTCATTTTCCCAATCCCTGGCAAATTCAGGGGCTTCTCCATCTCTCTCCAGAAAGTCATCAACAAACAAAAGCTCCCCCTCAAAAAAATAAAATAAAATAAAATAAAATCCCTGATCTGCTCTGTAGATGAGAAAGAGTGAGAGAATGTTTTAAGTTGAATCAGCACAGCCTGATTAAACACTTGCCCCTGAACAATGAACTTGAATAGCAGAATATTTATTGAACAAAGCCCCCTTCACTAGGTGCCATCTTCCTACTGAGGAGAGCTGTCCTTACCTTGTAGGAGGGAAGCAGCCATTGGGATTGCCCTTCATTCCTCACACCAGAGGTGTGCTTCTGCCTCTCCTGGGAGCTGTGAGGCCCTCCTTCCTGCAGAGTCGGCATTCTGACTCAAGGACTGTTTCCTGAGAAGTGTGTGGAGGGCTCTTGTTTGCAGATGTTTGCACCCACTGCAAGGCTGAACCACAGCCCCTGTGGAAAAGCTTAATGAAAGGAAGGAGGGAGGGAAGGAGGTGTGAAAACAACCTGGAAATTCTGCCCAAAAGCTGGACTTGGTCCCCACCCACAGACCAAGGGGAACAGCACAGTGGGACCACATTGGACACTCTGAGTGTCTGTGGTGACTTCACTGTCTGATACACAATCCCCACCTCACAAATGAAAAAGCTATCCTGGCCTCCTCCTGGTCTGACAAATTATCTGTGACAGATAACTTTACATGTAGAATTTAGTATGTTATGCACAAATCCTAATTTCATGGGGGGCAGAGTCACCTCAGCTAACATTGACACTTCCACCCAGAGTAATGGGTGGCTGACAAGGTGGCTACCTAGGGTGGGCAGCAGAGTCCTGACAGACGCCCCCTTCTCTGTCTGCTGCTCCCCAGAGGCAGGCCAGGAAGCTGACAGTGCATTGCATGTTCTTCTCTAGCAGGAAACCACAGGCACATGGGAGGTAGAAGGGGAACAGAGGTGCCTCTGGTTTTTCAGTCTTGTTCCAGATAGCTTTCTCCATGCCTTCTGGGTGCGGGAGTGGGCACAAAGGGAACAGTGCTCAGAGAAAGTGATGATCAGAAAGAACCTGTTGGGGCTGCAAGGGTAACTGGAACACAGTGACTGGAGATGAATGCCGTGTCTCGTTCATCTTCATGGCAATAGCAAATGCGGCATGAAAAGAGTTGTTGTCTGCTGAGCCCCTGCTCCCTCCAAATACAAGGCTGAGTCCTGCGTTTATTCTACCAGAACATAGTAGGTCATCAAAAATCATCCCTTGAATAAAATTATATTCTTACTTTTCCCATTCTAAGGAAAGGGCAGTACTTGGAATTTTGTGATGTAATGACCATGCTCGGTACCTGTGTGTCCTTGTAGGAAGTGCTGCAGAGGTTCAGTGGCCAGAGGCAGGTGGACAGTGAGAACAACTGGGATAACAGTTATTGCAGGACAGAGGTACACACTCAGGGTGTGAACACAGGCCTCCTAAGAGATCATGCTGTCAAGTGTTGGATTGCTCTCCTTGTGGTGGTGAATCTTAATGGAGGGGAGAATTGTTCTTGAACTGAATGGCAGGGTTATGGGCAGAGAATGGGGTGGGATTTCCCCAGTCAGGTTTCTCCTGGTTATGTCCTTATTTGGGGCTTTCCATATGTGGCATAGTGTCACCTGCATAGTAGGAATAGGCAATTTTATGACGCTAATGATATGGAGATGCCATCTTAATGAGGCAAAGAACATTTAGTGGTCCTCTTGATCAGCCATAGTATCTCCGGTGGTCTTGGGTGGTCATGTGATATCCTGTTATAGTTCAGCTGCCTCAGTTTCGAGTTTGCCTTGAAGTTTGCCTTTTTTCCCCCCTATATCTAGCTAGGTGACCTCATTTTCTTGAAATAGTCAAAGGAGTCTCCTTAGGGAAAGGAAAGACTACAGTAATTGATATCTAGGTATAGTTTGAAAGGTCCCCATTTGTGGGAGAGGGGCATGGCTGAAGCAGCCAACCAGTATAGGTAAGTCAGATTTGATAAGTCCTGGAAGGTAGCCAATGCGTGCTGACAGGAAGCAACCATGGATAAACCGTGCTAGAAAGGGATGGGGTGAAGTGAAATTTTAGACACTCCTGATGGCAGCCTTAGAATGGCCTCATCAAAGAGAGGCCAAAGTGGGGAACAGATCTGGAGTCTGTGACAGTAGAGATGTGGGGTCAGGTGAGCAGCCTGACATCAGGAGCACAGGGAGGAACAGTGACAAGAGGATGGATGGCTTTGGTGATGCATTGACATTGGGCAAACACAAGGACTGGGAGAGCAGCGGCACAGTGATGCACCCACAGTCCTTCTACTCCAAGTGTGTTTGTGTACAGAGACATACTTGCCTAAGAAAACCACAGTCCACAGCAAAGGCTCATGTAAACAGACAGGCTCAGGCCAACCAGGCAAGAGTATCCCTAAACTAGGAATGGTACCCACCTGTAGTCCCAGCACTGGGGAAGCCGAAGCAGGTGCGTAGTAATCTGAGACTGCCCAGGGCAACGCAGCAAGATCCTGTCCAATCTTCCTAATCGGTAAAAGAATTTGAAAGGGGAACCAAAAGAGCGGCACCTGCTGCAGTTCTCTGGTTTCCTTCCCTGTCTTCCTGGTGTCTGCTTTAGCCCCACACCCCTGAGTTCACCCTGCACTTGTGCCCAGTGCTCCAGAGACCGTCTTCTCTACCCCTTGCCCACAGGCTACCTTTGCCTGTCCCTCCTGTATTTCCCACGGCTCCCCTCCCTCTGCTGCCTTCTACCTTCGCTGTCTAAGGGACTCTGTCTCTACCATCTCCCTCTCACCATATCTCCTCTTTCTCTGTGCCCCTCCATTCCTTTCCTTTCGCTCCACCCCTTCATCACCCATTATCCTGTAACAAATTGCCTTCACCTTTCCAGCTGAAATTCCCCAACTCCCTTCCCTCCACCTCAGCCCTGGGCTGGCCTGTGCTTTGAAAGAGAACACTGAGGAGACAGGGCAGTGGCCGAGTTTGAAGACTCCTTAACAAGACAGTGGAGAAGTAGTCTTTGAATGATCCATGTTAATAAATTTTTCCACACACATGCATGCGTGTGTGTAAACAGATATAAAATATATGATTTACATATATAAAATATAAACTAATGGAACAGTAGACAGCAGAAGCTGAGGAAGGACAGTGTGGAAGACTCAGAGGTGAGGTCCCCCTCTGCCTCCTGTCCCTACCCTACCCTCTGCCAGTCCTAGAACCAGAGCCGCTACCCCAGGCCTGTCATATACGTCTCTTTCTGTGTGAAGGATCCTTACAGAGAAATTCTCTGAACTACACTATTCTCTGATAGTGTGTGGCCCTGGGACCTTCATTTCAATGGCCAAAGAGCCCCAATAGGTCTTGCAGAGTTCCCCTCTCGTTCACAAGTGCGGAAGGCACAGCCTCTGTCCAGCTGCATTTCTACACAACCATCTGCTGCATTGAGCCTCTACATGAAAAGACACGTTTCCCCCACACCTCTCAGCCCTGAGTGCTTCTGACACTCCTCTGTCACCTAAAACTGTGATTAAATCTCTCCTGTTTCCTTGCTCATCGGCTTAGCCTTTCTCGCCTGTGCAAGAACAAAGAACGCCTTGAACTTGTGAGCCTTGGCTAGTAAGCATGCTATCAGCTTCCTCTTTAAAAATATTTGGGCACATGCTGAATTCTCTTAATTATAAACTGCTGGAGAAGAGAATACACATCTAACATGTACCTGACACTAGAAAGTGATGGAGGTTGGATTCAGATGCCACCTCTGCTGTTGGAGGAGGGCCACTTGTTGGTTCCCAGTCGCCTAGCTAGCTTAGACCCGAAATAATCACACAGAAACTGTATTAATTAAATCACTGCTTGGACCATTAGCTCTAGCTTCTTATTGGCTAACTCTTACATATTAATTTAACCCATTTCTATTAATCTGTGTATCGCCACATGGCTGTGGCTTGCTGGGTAAAGTTTCCAGCGTCTGTCTCCAGGGGGCTCCATGACTTCTCCCTGACTCCGCCCTTCTTTCTCCCAGCATTCAGCCTAGCTTTCCCTGCCTACCTAAGCACCACGTGGCAGTGGCTTACCAGCAAAGGGTGTGGGCCAGGCTCAGAGATAAAGGACATTTCTGTAGGAGTCCAAACTGAGCAGGACTCCTGCATATTTGAGAAGTTACATTTGAGCTAAACTACTGGGGTGCTTGCACTTGATAACTGTGTTGTCCATGTGCTGAGATGCAAGAGACCTCAGCTACTGTGGCAGCCCCTTCTGAGTAAGTCACTCCTAGATTTCACTAGGCAAGTTGGAATGCATTCGGCTTCAAGCGAACATAACCACCACACGTGCAGTGGCCTAAGCCATGGGGATAGGCACTGTTTGCTGGAAAGAGGTCCCAAGAGTTACCACTCCCAGGGCCACCTTGACAACTATACAGCACCAGGATGGTTCTCTGGGTGCTCTTGGTTCAAAGGAAGAGAATATCACTCACTTACAAGGAGTCTAGAGGCAGAAAGAAGTGGGGCAACCTTGGGCTTCTCTTTATCCCACAATTGCCACTCCAGCAGGACCTACTAGAGGAAAGAAGTTTTGAAGATAGAGCCAGCAGGTAACCCTGAAGTTAGGAATTAAATAAAAACAACAAAGATGTGCTAAGTCAGTAGGAGACCTCACTCAAAGGTCAGGAATGATGCTGGATCCTCAGGCTGATGACATAGTGGGACCAGATTTCTTCATTCCTTGCTCTGTTTTCCCACATCAGCTCAGAAGCTAGAATATTGTCCCAAGAGGTATCACGGGTGAAAAACCAGCTGGGTGGCAGGTGAATCTTGGTGCACAAACCTGATGGCGGGAGT